ATATAAGTATTTTGTTGATTTTTTTAATTATTAATTCAATATGTTTTTTTAGTTCGGTATTCAATAGTATCTTGGTTAATAAGGTTTTTCAAATGGGTGGTTATTGATGTTAGTTCAGATTGTTGGTTTTTGTATATTTTCGTGGTTAATTTTACTAATTGGTTTCTTTGTTGAGTCGTTATGTTTAATATACAATTTCTTTTTAATAGTATTTCTTGTAAGGTTTCTTTTATTTTGAAGAGATCTTCAAATACTTGATATTCTTTTTCTAATTGACTATCAGTTTGTTGTATAGTTTGTAGTTGGTTCAAATATTTGTTGTCAATTCCTGTACCTATAAGGTAGTTGGATAACAAGTTTTCTAAATTTATATTGGTATACTCTTTTGCGTTTAATTTCCAATAAATATATTGTAATTCTTGGTAATATAGTATAATAGTGTTTTCTTCAAATTCGTTTCGTGTTTTCTTTGGTTTTGATAATAGTTGCTTTAGTCTAGTTACATGTTTTTGTATTGTAACAATATGTGCATTTGTCATCAGAGTAGTTTGAGTCTACTTTTCCTTGATGGTTAATAAAGAATTCTTTTCCTGTTATTTCTTTATATACTCTGAATAGTGAATTTTCATATTGGCATATTGCTTCTTTTAGTGTTGCAGAGTCTTGTGCTTGATAATATTTGCTTTGTACATAGTTTGCTGTATTATTTCAATAGTTTAAAGATTCATATTGGTATATATTATAAGCAGTTATTTCTTTTTCGTATTCTACTTCTAGTTGGTTGATAGTTTTTTCAATATTTTCTTTACAAATTGTTTTGAGTAGATAATCTAATTTTAGTTCTATTTCTCCTTTAGTTACTTGTATCGGTTGATTATATTTTAATTGTTGAGCAATAGTGTTATGGTTATATTTTTTATAATCTTGTTCTATTATTGATTTATACTCGTCATTTAATTCTTGTAATTCTTTTTTGAGTTCTTCAAGTTTTTGTTCTTTATTCATTTATTAATTCACTTGACCTTTTAATGGAATTTCATAAAAATTCTCTTTGTTTTTTAGCAATCTCGTAGTCTTGAAAATATTTTTCTTTTGTTTGATTAAGTTGTTCGATTTGTTGTTTGAATATCAGAATATTCTTTTCTTCTAGTTGTTGGTTCTCGTTTGTAATTATTTCAATTAATTCTTTCAGGTTGTTATAAGTCAAACACTGTCCTACTTGGTAGAGTATTTGTCTTATATACAGGTGAAATTGTATTTTGTAAAATTGGTATAATGAGTTAGTTTCTCATTTGAAGTTAAATATTCTTCTAATATCTTTTTCTTCAATTACATTGTTGAGATGTTTAGATTCAATTATTGTATTAATTATTGATGTTATTGCTAATTTGAATAAATATATTTGTTGAGGTATTTTATCATATTTGTATGTTATTCCTTCTTTTTTTGAGGGTGATTGCGTTTACATTTGGTTTTCTTTCTTTAATCGTTCAAGGTATTTCTTTGAATAATTCCTGTTGTTTGTTGTATAGTTTGTAGTTGGTTCAAATATTTGTTGTCAATTCCTGTACCTATAAGGTAGTTGGATAACAAGTTTTCTAAATTTATATTGGTATACTCTTTTGCGTTTAATTTCCAATAAATATATTGTAATTCTTGGTAATATAGTATAATAGTGTTTTCTTCAAATTCGTTTCGTGTTTTCTTTGGTTTTGATAATAGTTGCTTTAGTCTAGTTACATGTTTTTGTATTGTAACAATATGTGCATTTGTCATCAGAGTAGTTTGAGTCTACTTTTCCTTGATGGTTAATAAAGAATTCTTTTCCTGTTATTTCTTTATATACTCTGAATAGTGAATTTTCATATTGGCATATTGCTTCTTTTAGTGTTGCAGAGTCTTGTGCTTGATAATATTTGCTTTGTACATAGTTTGCTGTATTATTTCAATAGTTTAAAGATTCATATTGGTATATATTATAAGCAGTTATTTCTTTTTCGTATTCTACTTCTAGTTGGTTGATAGTTTTTTCAATATTTTCTTTACAAATTGTTTTGAGTAGATAATCTAATTTTAGTTCTATTTCTCCTTTAGTTACTTGTATCGGTTGATTATATTTTAATTGTTGAGCAATAGTGTTATGGTTATATTTTTTATAATCTTGTTCTATTATTGATTTATACTCGTCATTTAATTCTTGTAATTCTTTTTTGAGTTCTTCAAGTTTTTGTTCTTTATTCATTTATTAATTCACTTGACCTTTTAATGGAATTTCATAAAAATTCTCTTTGTTTTTTAGCAATCTCGTAGTCTTGAAAATATTTTTCTTTTGTTTGATTAAGTTGTTCGATTTGTTGTTTGAATATCAGAATATTCTTTTCTTCTAGTTGTTGGTTCTCGTTTGTAATTATTTCAATTAATTCTTTCAGGTTGTTATAAGTCAAACACTGTCCTACTTGGTAGAGTATTTGTCTTATATACAGGTGAAATTGTATTTTGTAAAATTGGTATAATGAGTTAGTTTCTCATTTGAAGTTAAATATTCTTCTAATATCTTTTTCTTCAATTACATTGTTGAGATGTTTAGATTCAATTATTGTATTAATTATTGATGTTATTGCTAATTTGAATAAATATATTTGTTGAGGTATTTTATCATATTTGTATGTTATTCCTTCTTTTTTTGAGGGTGATTGCGTTTACATTTGGTTTTCTTTCTTTAATCGTTCAAGGTATTTCTTTGAATAATTCCTGTTGTTTGTTGTTAATTATTTGTTGAGCTTTCTTTTCTAGTCATTGAGTGTACTGTTGGTGGTAGTTGAGGTTGAGTTTATATCTGTGTTTAGGTCTTCTTTTCTTATGTTGTTTATATTCACAAGTTATTTTTCTTTCTATACAATTATCACAATCATTCATGTCTGTTGATAATACTTTAGTATACTTTTGTTTATGGGTGTGACACTCTATACAGGTGTGCTTGGAGTATAGTGTGGTGTGTATTCTTTTACTTGTTGTGGTGTGTTTGGGCATCTACTTTCTTCGTCAGAAGTATCTTGTAGATTGTCAAGTGTTTTGTAGAGTTTATCAAAATCATGTTTCTCTTGAGTGTTTCAAAGATTATTTTTGCTTTTCCAAGTATATGTAATAGGTTTATTTTTGCGTCAAATATTTTTCTAAGTAATTTGGTTTTATCTGATGTGTGATATTTTCTTTTACAAGTTTTATTGCTAAGTTTACAGAATGAACAGGGTATTTTATTATCACAAAGTAGATCTTTAGTTTTGCAATATATACAAATTGTATATCTTTCTCATGTTTTAGGTATTCATTTTTTATGATCAGTGTATTTGAGCATATTTGAGTCAAGGTCAAATGTTATTCTTTTTATACGTTTTTCCCTGTTACTTTTGTAATACTTTGTTATCTTTGTTATTTATAATTCTTTTTTAGTTATTTATATAATTAATAATACATTTGTTATGAAATATGGCTAAATATTTGTATGTTACAATGATAAATAAGTTTTTACTAAATTATTTTGGCGTATTTGGTGCCTTTCACTATTTCTATTTTTTGTTTTTCAGGGTGTTTTATATTTTTCAGGGTGAATTATTTCTGATGTTACTGAGATATTCTTTGTGTAAATTATCAAATTTTTCTTCAGAGTATTCTTGTCCTAATATTATGAATTCTGCTATAGCTTGGTTTCTCCAAGTTGTAATTTGTCTAAACTGTGTTAGGTAATCACGTTCTCGATGTTCTTCAAGTTTTCTTTGTAGTTCAATGTTGTCAAGATGAAGTGTGTTATTTATTTCTTGATAAATTTTTATTGCTTCAGCGAGGTATTTATATTTTTGCTTTGTTCAATAACTAATTTTTTTCAGATCAATTATTTCTTGTTTCATTTGTTCTATTTCAGTTCTTTCTATTTTATCAAAGTTGAATTCTTCAATTTTAGTAGTTACTTTGAGTTTTTTACTTGGTACAAATTCTTTTTTTTCAATTTCATGAATTTGATCTTTTTCTTGTTTTCTTTGGTTCTCTACTTTCATTTGGAAGCAAATAGTACATTTTGCATTTTTCAGTGTTGTGATTGGTGTTGGTTGCTTACAACCAATACATTTGGTAGCTTCTTTATAACAGTCATTACAATATCTATTAGTTAATTCTTTTTCATTGTAGGGATATTTACATTCGGTACAAAGTTCTTTTTCTTTAATATCTAGTTGTAGTTCATCGTATACTTTATATTGTGCTGTTTTTTCTTTCCAATTTTTGTCATTTAATTTGGGTAGTTGTTTGTCTTCCAACGATATAGTTGCTATATTATTGTAGTTTTGGTTGTTTAGGTTATATGCTGCTATGTTAGCAGGGTTATTTATTTTAGCTGGTTCCATAACTATGTCTTGGTCAGTAATTGGTTCATTTGAATCATTGAATTAATTATCTAATTCATCACAGGATGATGTAATCATTTCTATCGTTTGTAGTGGGTTATATATCATTTGTGGATAGTGTTATTTTCTTTTTCTTGTAATAATATTGTTTTCCAATTATATTGTTTGGGGATTCCTTCCTTATCAAGTAAAACTTCTTCTTCTTTTATTAAGTTAATTAGCC